CCAAAAATGATATCTATTAACAAAATACAACAGGGACCCAAGATAACTAGAAAAACTTCCAATTTGGATCACTGACAGAAAATATACCTGAATCTCCACCAAAGATACTAGCAACAGAAATAGAAATAACAGAAAGAACACACAATGTTTGAACAAATCAAAGAGGCCAAATTCAATTAATAAGTTACCAGAAATTATCTACCCAGAGCTCACTCTCATACAAAGCCAGGAAACTCTCCTCTAAATGCTATGGTACTAGAATGAAAACATAATTACTTCTTTGACTTTGGAAAGGCTGCAAGGCATCACTTATAAAACACACTGATTTGAGCTGTCTGTAATAATAACTTGAGCTTTACATTGTGTAATTGCCAGACTAGTCCTCTGGAAGCAGAGTTCTTTATAATCAGCTGTACCATGAACATCAGTTTATTTAACAAGGTGTACCTGAGCCAAGACCTGGCTCATTCTGTCCAAATTCCTGTAACATGCATCCTCCTTCCTTAAACCTGTGTGTGAAAAGTCCCTCATCACAAGAACCAATGTTCTGAAATTCAGAAAATAATCATCCCATTTCATGGTGAAGGAGGGTCCCCAGTCCTCTTCCCCACTAATTCTGACAGGGATTAGGGGCGTGCTGATGCTACTGATCTGCACTTTTATTCTTAGACCACAATGCTTTGAAAGCGTTGACCCAAAATCATGTTGGCTTATTTCTAACATTTTGCTGAAAAAAATTGCTTATCTCACTCTGCAGGCAGGTGAGACAGGATTGCATCTCCTGGCTCAGGCTGACCACACTGAGCAATTTAAAATTAAATTGGGGGAGTCATAAGGTGGCTGACCCAGGGTTACAGGACTGGGAAGGCTGCGGACAGCTTGTTGATAATAGGAATGATAATTAATAATAATTAACTGCCATTTCAGAGAAGATGGGCACCCCACATCTGATACCATGTAGGAGGAAGAGCCTAAAGAGGAACCACACAGTGGCCAGGCTGCCAGCCAGGGCCCAACGTGGCAACTGGTCAAGAGCATCTTTGCTCTCCAGATGTGAGTTCCGCAGTGTGAACGAGATCTGGAGCTGTCATCTGTGTGAATGTTTGTGGTTGTGACAACACCAGTCCTTATCCTCCCACAAGACTCACCCTGCCAAGTGCCCACAGTTTTCATTAGACATCACTGAGTGCTGTGGTTTGGCTCAGTGGACCACTCCACACATGATTCATTTCTCATAAATGAATGAGAGATTAACAGAAAAAAAAAAAAAAAAATTTGCTTTCCTTGTGAGTAGTGACTAAGAAAAAACTAAAAGACATACATATACTTTGAACTTTACTAATGGATCAAATGGTCTGCATTGAACACTGTTAACTACAGCAACAGCATGTGAAGAGAGAATGTCTAAATCCACAAAATCTGTAGCTTTGTCACAATCTGAGACAAATCAGTAGTGTGCCAGTACAAACACAAACAGCCTATTTCTCTTTGGCTAACTCAACACAATTCCCAGGAAAAACCAACACAAATAGCTGATATTGCATCACTGGCAGTCTCTCTGCTCTACAGGGCACTCTTTCTTTCTGTCAGATCTACAAATCCGACCCAAGTGAGTTTTAACTATGCAGTTAAAAGTCAGTCTGAAGTAGAAGATGAAGCATTGCAAGGTTAAAAAAATAAATAAAAGAGAGAATTTGTAATGAAAGGAGCTTTAAATAGAACATGTGCTTCTTTTACTTCAGAGCACTTCAACAAGCTGCTTTCACCACACACAAGCTATTGATATGAGCAAGAATAAAAGGGTCCCTAACAAGGAAAACGACCAATAGTCCAATCCATAGATTTCTCCAGTGACAAACATTTACACAATAAGCCCTTAAAGTGTAACACCATCAGTCCCTCAAACAGGATGGAACTGACAAGATACTGTTTTCACTGACAATGCCACTTCCCTAATCCACACTGGGTTTCACAGAGCACTTTGATTCTTGTCTGTAATGGAAGAATTCAGTTTAAAAAAAACACCCCAAGAAATCTGCTTTTCAAGATTCAGAAGATTATAAACTGGCAACAGAAATAATGGAAAGACAGTTTTTGTCAGTTGATACGTAAGAACATTTGTGTAAAAGACAGCTCACTGTTTTAAGATGAACAATACAAAGAGCAGGCTAAATATAAGATACGTCACATCTTTAAGTGCTTTTGTGCATGATATGAAAAACAAGTGGATGTGGTTTGCTTTTTTGCTTTTGGTGGAGTGCAGCAGTTTGAAAAGAAGAAAACAGAATTTAAGCCTGTGAAAAGAGTGTGTTAAAATAATAAGAGATGGGTGCATATGTTGCTCAAGAACTGTGGTTTAACTGCTTTTCACAAAGCAGCAGCCAATTGCCAGGCTCCCCCGACGGCAGCATGGCCTGGGAAACAGGTGCCATGTGGAGCTGCTGGCCAGGACAGGGACTGCAGCTCTCCAGCACAGAGCCCCAGCGCTGGGCAGCTCGGGATCAGAGCAGTGCTGAGCCCTGAGCCAGCCCAGCCCTCCCCCCAGCACAGTGAATGTCCCACAGCCAGGCCCCACATATGGCACAGGGCAGTTGGGGACAAAAGCTTAAGGGCAAAGGTACTGAATGAGCAGTCTAGAGAAGGGCTAGATGAGCACAAGGAGACCATCCCTGCTATATTTCTGAGCGATCATCAAGCTGTACCCACAGCCCACCAGACTGGGGACAAGCTGCTGCTGTGTGCACGGATCTCTCACCTGCCATTACCCACCTCAACAAACAGGAAACTGTCTGCAAGCTCATTAATCCATTTTCCCAAGCCTTGCTGTACTATACCAATGCTTTCATGAAGTAATGAACAACTTCATATCTCTCCTTCCTAATTTGAAATGTTCTAGGCCTCCAGAGGTTTTATTACTTTTATATTTTATTAGGTTCTTTTAAATAGCTTTTCTGAAAGTGCAGAATTCAAGCTGTTCTCAGCTGAACACAACTTCCACTTTTAAAGCTAGTAGCTGCAGCTTTTTCTTCGACAAAAACAGTTAATATACACAAAACTTGATGACTTTTTCTCTTATTTTTCAATCAAAAAACTGCTGAGAAAAGCTCAGCAGAAATTACACAGTCAGGTTTGGGAAGCATGATGACATTACCAAACCGTACACATTCTCTGAAGGATAGGCATATTTTCTGCCAGCCAGCCACCCAACCACTTTTACATGTTTTGGATCATTTTTCTGGGCACAGTTATAGCTTCTTACCACTGCACTGCCACTACAATTCACATCCATAAAACCTGGCAGTAGCTACAAAAAACCACAACAAAAAGCAGCAACTGAATTTTTAGCTGGAAGGCACCATTTGCAACAGCTGTAACAACATCTAACTGGTAAAAACTTTAAAGAAATATGAAAATTGATATTTAATAAAAAAAGAGATTCAAGAATGATCAGCAACATGAAGAAGGGACACAGGAGAGAACAACAGCTGAGGAAAATGACAGGCACAATTCACATGGAATTGTTACTTTTAAAACAGAACTATTATAGAACAGCATTGTCCTGCATTACCTTGTTTTCTGAGTATGTGTCATCATCCACCTCCATCAAAAATATGATCCCTTTTGGATGCCAACAAATACATATGAAATTAAACAACCTCAGGACAAGAAATTACATATGGTTATGAAAAATGAGGCAATGGCATAAGCTACATTTCAGTATCACAAATTAGTCAAAGAATATTAAATTAAAGCAGTTAAGTAGGAATGAAAATACTTTTAAAGAATGAATTTTGTTTTATCAAAAGAATTCTGAAACACAAATTCACAATTTTGACAAATGCTTCAAAGAATGAACAAGTCCTTGATATCAATCAGGCTATAATAAAAAAAACAATGCATCTATAGGTAAAAAAGTAGCAAAGCATTGTTGCGAATCAAAGCAGCTCAAAAAATCCAGTATGTGTAGGAAGTTAATTGTACTGCTGTCCTGAAATCCCACACAAAGACAAGTGTATCAGTAAATTAGGGGGGAAATAGAGGGGCAGATTTTAAAGAGGTGTTTTTTTAGTTATAACTGAGATTAAAGATGGGGATTTATGATCTCTAATATGCTACAGGAATCAGCATCACACCATCCAAAGGAGAAAAAACCAAACAAACAAACAACAGCCATCACTAACGTCTTACATATTGTCTTTGGTTGTTTAATATCAAGAAATACTTTTTACAGAATATGTGGAAACTATTCCTTTGAAATTCATTCTGTGTCAACACCTTCCCTGTGGCCTCTCTGGTAAACCAGAGGACAGGCTTTACTTTCTCTGAATAGTTTGCTTTTTTCTACATTTTTATCATATCTCTCTTCGAAACTCCAATTTCTTCGATTTACAGGCTTTTGTACCAAAATGGTTTGACTAGAACAGACTTTACATTGTATAGTGAAGGTATTTTTCTTGCATTATAAACTTAGAACCTACTAAAACAATTTTCCACAAGATACTATTGAACTTACAGCAGGATTTAGAGACAGGAATAAAGAACATTTGCAATTATAATAACTAAAATGAAAACCAACCCAAAACTCCTAAGGTTACATTAGCAAGGATTAAAAGTTTTCTCTAAGATATTAAAATTACTGCTTTAGAAAGTCTTGTACCAGAAAGGAGTTTTCAATCCCCAGCTAGAGGTGCTCAGTAGTTGAGGAGAGGGGAATGGGAGGGGATGTTTAGGGTTGTCCCCTCATTCCCTTGCTGTCTGGCCAATTAAGCTCAAAATGCTTACCAGGTGTATGATCAATTTATGGAATGGAAAGTAGCATACACATTTAATGGTATTTCCATTGGACTATGTACAGCATCTCCAATGTCAGAATCAAAAGCATTCCGAGTAAAATCAGATAATAGTTATTAGGAAAAAGAAACCAACAGAAAGGTTATTAATACACCTTTAAAAAACGTAACACAAAAATAATTAACCACTGCTTTCTTGGCATGTAAAAGTTCTATACAAATTTTAAAAATTTTATTTGCAGGTACTAACCTCTTCAAAAGCTCACTCTGTATTTACACTAATTCTTTTAACAAGTTTATCTCAAATTAAAGCATATTTAAAACAATCATGATTGCATTAACTTTTCTGCTTTAAATTATTACCCAATTAGTGCTTTATTCACATTTTAAAAACTTGTACAATTTATTACAAATATAAAACAGTGCAGTTTTTCATACATTATCCCAACTCTGAGACAAACACTTAAAAGACATGGAAAAAGGTTTTGATTTCTATAAACATAACATTTGCATTACTCATACCCCTTTCTTCACTGTCCTCCCATAACCCCAATTTAAAAAGATCAAACATACAACATACTGTAGGTTTATTTTTATTCAAAAAGTTACTGTCTCAAGACATAAATACAAATCAGAAAACAGTACAATTAGGACAATAGAATGTGGAGGACAACAGGTTAAGGTAAATATATAAAACATTTTTAGCTGGTTGAAAACAAAGCTGTAAGAACTGCTTTCACAAAGAAACACTCCTTCAAGAGTAAGAAAAATCAACTTAAGTTTAAAATCATATATACAGTCCTCTCAGCAGTTCTATTAAATGCAGTGGTGTGGAAAACAATATAGGCAGTACTTTTAGACATGAGAGTATTTATTTATGTAAAATGAGTTAGGCAGATCTAGTTTTCATTTTGTTGTTACCCCATGACCTAGTAAAATAATTATATTTTATCATGATCCTTTAGATAATCTATGGTTTTTGGCTACCACAGCCGAATGTTTAATTTCTGAGTCTAAAAACAGGAAGCCTTTTTGTATTCACCCATTTGGGGAGATTCTTGTATTGCAAGCGTATTAAGGCATGGAATGATTAAAATAATATACCTCAAGAACTGAGAGACAACTGACAAAAAATATACATATGTAATATAAGTTAATATTTCCTTTAAAATGATGTCTAGCTGCCTAAGCCTTGCAAAATGAGTCAATGTCAAAATGGCATAGATCCACTTTCTGTTTTAGACCAAATTTAATTTATTTGTGAATGGACACAAAATGAAATTTAAAGCTTAGCTTTCAAAGGATATTATGGGTTGTTTATGAGTTTCTATTATCCAATCTAATTTACATATAGAGGAAATGTACTGTAACCTGTTAGAAGTATCTTTAACCTGAAGACTGCTTGCAAAGACAGATAGATAAAACAATATAAAATACAAATTTAAAAATCATTTTTAAAGCATGAATTCTCATGCTCTTCTATTTTTAAACATTGTTAAACTTTCAATATATTTCTGAAACCTCATAATTTTAAGTTGGAATTTAAAAGTAAGAAAAAACTAAACAAACTGCGCAATTATAAAATCAGCACCAATTTATATATATATATAATTTTATTTAAAATTTAGATCCCTATTCCCACACTCTAATAAGCTGTATAATTTTTGTTTAGAATTTTTCTGCAAACATACTACAATAAGCTTCTTTTATTTGGAGACAAAATACAGTGGCACTACTGGAAGGAATTTCACAACATTACATTTTTCTTAAAGGACAAGCAAACTTTCAGGGTTGGTAATGGGCAAGCAAGAGTGAAATCTGTTACGTTCTGGTAGCTTACAGGTTATGGACCTTTCTGAGAAGGCTAACATGAAGCTTTTGGAATAAAAAGTGTGTTTTAGATTAAAAAGCTGTTAAAATTCTGCTTTATGTGTTTTTTTCCATGATTAATTGATACAAACCATCTGTTGCTGAAGTTTGCATTTAATTGAAAATACTGACAACTCTTCTGGTTCGTTCTACACTGTGAGAAAACCAATCCATCTACTATTACAGCTCATGGACATGAACAGCAATCCAGCAGAGCTCATGATTATTTAGTATAGCCAGCAAATGTATAGAGAGGGGCTCAAATCTGTACCAAACACCTCTCAGACTGTTAAGATTAAAACTCAGAGGGAATACTTCTTATGATCCAGAAATAAACTGATAGCACATAAATAAAATATTGGAATTTTTTCCCAACAAAAACTGTAGCTTATCCTCAAATTGTTTACTTGTCCTTTACATTTCTTTTTTTCTTTCAGGCAAACAAAACTGCCCCTTCAATGCACTTGATCTTGAAAGCATGTCATTCTCCTTAGAGAAAAATCTGTTCAGAATTTCACTGTATCTACCACAATTTTGTATTGAAAAACTTCCTCTTCCACTTAGAAAATGACTTCACCACTGATTTATTTGCTGCTCTGGTATTAAAACATTGACACCCCAAGAACCTAAAAAAAAAGTTAGAAATGGTGTCAATTTGTAGTCTAATACACATTTAACAAATAACAAAGCAATTAGTATATAATTTAAGATTAAGACACTTCAAGATATGTTAAGGCATTATTAAGTTTATTTTTCTTCCAAACCAGATTAACCACACTTCTGATTTAGGTAATAATATGAAAAGGGCTCCTCATTCATTAGAAATATTTTTCTCACACTTGAAATTAACTAGATCTAGTAGGAATAGTCTGTGTTTTAATTATTTTAGGTAATAACTGCAGAATAATTTTTAGTTAGGTGCCTAACTCAGATTTCTTTGACATTCTATTGGCTCTAACCTGAAATCAAATATGTTATTACCAGTGACTAAACCTGGGACAAAACACTTCAGACACTGGCTGCTGCTGTGTCTGTGATCACAGAAACCACAGGCCATCCCACATCAGCCAACCAGGACACATATTTAACATTTCCTAGGAAATGTATTCACTCTGTCAGGAAGACAGTGAAAAATCAAACAATCATCAGGTAAAATCAAGCAACTGTACTTCAGGAGATTGTGTAACTAGGGAAAGAAAAAGCTTCCTGAAACAAAGTGTCAGTTTCCACTTCCCATGTGAGAACAAGCCATACAGCTTTCTATGCCAATGGAAGTATGTACGACCAATGATGCACCAAAAAACCCCAAAAAAATCCAGATTTTGTGACTGTCCTAGCTTTTGTAAGACTTTATAAAATCAGCAAGAGCCAAAACAGATCAAATATTCCTGAGCCTTAACACTCTGTCCATATTTATCTGCTTACAAATAAATTTTTACTGTTCTTTGAATTATATTCACTTTGGGTGCTTCCTACAACAGAGCACACAGACAGAACTGCCTCTGGTGCCAGCAATAACTGGGCACATCGGACTAGAAGTCTAGTCATAAACCATGTGCATCTGAATAAATTAAACAGCTCTATTATGCCTACACCTATTAAAAACAAGTGCAACAACTCCGAGAATAAGGGCCCTCTGAAATAAATTACATGAATAAAGCGAATTACCTTTATTCTGAGAATTGTTTGCATTTGTGCAATGGTTTTTACACTGAGCGCGGCCTGTCAGGTGAGCCCCGGCTCCGTGAGGGGCGCTCGTTTGCCCGTGCCGGCCCCGCCCGGCGCTGCCCGCGGCTGCCCCCGCGCGGCCGCTCTCGCGCACTGCGCCGCGGCCCTCAGCGCGCCAGGGCGGCCCGGCCGGGCCTGGGGGAGCTACGGGGCTCTCAAATCCATTAGTGCCACCTGGGGAAGGCCGCGGCTTCAGCACTGTCAGACTAAAAAGTGACTGGCATTTCACACATCAGTCCAGGAAAAATTGAGTAGAGGAGGGGAAGAACTATTGTGAAACAGAATGTCAGAGAACAGGCGAGATTTTTTCTTGGTGTTAATTCAGGAAAAGAACACACAACAGCCAGACGCACAACCTAACTGATTCATTATTACTAAAGCAAAGCCCTACTGGTACAAAATATATGGTTTTGCATTTAAAACAGTATTTAGGACTTCTTTCTGCCATAAACAAGAAGAGGTTCACGCTGCAACAATACTGTAAAAAAATACATAACCATCTTCCAAATTCCACCAAGCTGTCCAAGATTCCCAGGAAGCCTTGTTGTACTGTCCTCTGCTGGCTTGCTGCAGCTTGTTATTTCCAGTGTAATTTTGTACCAGCTACCCAAGGTCAAAAATGGCTGCATACTTTACAAGTGGTTCAAGACAGAAGGAATCCCTCATGCAGATTTTTAAAAGAGAATAGAGACTGCAGATTTATCAAGTCGGATAAAAGGGCAACTGCAAGCAGAAACTACAGACTTCGGATGTTTTGGACCTAAAACTTTATATGGAAAGAAAAAATACCTCTCATCTCTATAAACAGATATCTGTATTATCTCTTATTTTCTCTATTATCTTACTTATGCACAAAAGTAAATATGCCAATTAAAAAAGAAAAACCCACAAAATGCACACCATCTAATGCTGACATTTGGTAATGACATCAGTCATTGAACTAAGCTCAGCACAACAGGAAACTTGCTTTTAATACTGTTTATGCACATTTCTTTATTTTTCTAATGCTACTTGCTTATCAGCCTCTGCTAGTCTTTTCCATAACAAATGTGTTTTCTGCTCAGAATCATAGGCTTTTAATTTTTACATAGCTATATATACATATTAAGAACAAAAGCCCCATAAACTTGCAAGGAACACTGACTATCCTAGAATGTATGGAGCTGAATTACTGCACCAGTCTGTCAAAATAAGCTTACAATGACAACCTGAAGATTGCATTCTTTCCATTTAAAATCTGAACTAAGAGTATGGCAACCTTAAGACTGATTTACATTACTTTCCCCTTAAATAAGTTAACCTACCGATTCATCCATGATTGAAGCGGGGTCAAAGAAATCTGGTTTTAGTTCCGTTCGTTCCCTCCTGTTCTTTGATGGTGGCTTTAGAAAGCAAACAAACAAACATGTTAAGTGTAATTTCACCAGAAAAACAAAGGTTTTACACTGTAGTCAGTGAAGCTGAACTCTCAAGGGGTAAGAATTCACAAGGGATAAATGTTATTTCTTACAACAGGAAGTGTTCTTGGTTTTTGTATAGCAATTGGACCAGATGGCTCTTGTACACAGACAACAGCGCAGCTCTTTAACAATGCAGAAAGCAACCAGAATGATTTTTGTTTTATTAGAAGGAAAATTTAATTCAAATATCTTACTTTAAAAGCAGAAATACAAAGCCCAAGAACACTAAAAGAGAAGTAAATTTCTTACTAGGTCTATGTCCATGGTGTCAAAATCCATGCCTTCATTAAGATCTTCAATCCGCCCTTCTGATGACATCATCACATCTTCAACAATTGGCTCTTCATCATCTTCCATTAGACTTGTGCCACGTCGACTGAAATGAAAAGCAATACTGTTTAGCACTAAATCAAGTTAACTTCTATGTATTTAAAATATTAATGCTCAGTAAGGGACTCCCAACAATTCCATTACATAAAACAGAAATGAAGTAATGAAATGAATGCATAACTACTACTAAAGAAAGCTGGTATTGAACCAGAAGATACTAAGAGAGTGTTGGAGAATGCCTAACAAAGGTCAGTTTAGACAACCATGGTACATTGCTAAATGGATATTCTGAGAGGGTGTGAGACCTGGCAAGCAGATCTACTCCACACCTAATTTATGTTCAAGTGAGGAAGAACTTAAGTTTTGCCACTTAAAGAAAAATTGTTTCTGCCTTATGATAAAGCTGGGAAGAATGCCTTTGAAATAAAGTAGATGTGTAAAAACACTACAAATACTCCCACACACTCCTTCATCCTCTTTCCTCATAAATTCTACAAAAAACATCAGATCTTATGCAAAAACTACAGAGTCATTCTAATTATACTAATTGGTGCCACTGTATTTAAAAAAAAAGTCACCACTGAAACTATGTTACATGAAGTACTGGAAATAAAGCAATCAAAAGTAGGGGGAAAATGTAAAGCTCCTCAATACATATGTCCATGGTTTTTGTTTGTAACGTGTACTTTTTTACTGTAGAACTCTCCTTACTGTCCTAAAGAACGCAGAGAACTTTTAAACCTAGAAGATGTATCCCTCTTAAAAGAAACAGGTGTTACTACTGCATTTATAAGCCCTCCCCGACCCACTGAAGGAGCATTTCACTCCACTCACATGGCGTGTTGCAAGTTGCTTCTCAGCTTGACGTAGTTCATCGCTGCCCTCTCCTGTTGTTGTCGCGCGGCTTCTTCCTGTTGCCTTTGAGCCAACATCCACGTTACTTGCGTGCTTAAAAAGACCATTATTCTATTTTAAACATGTACTGGTTTGTGTGTGGACACTAACACAAAGCAGACCTACTCGTGTACGTACTTGTAGTCGAGCGGCGGTTGGTGGTGCTCGGGCTGCATAGGATAGACACCCATGTAGTTCTCGTCGGGTCGCAATCTCTTGGGCTCCCTCATTATTGTGGAAGTGAGCTGAGGTGTCTGCATCATGACTGGTGTGTGCATTGACTGCTCCCTGTTCAGCCACATACTGTCACTACTGCTGCTTTCTTCAGCTGAAAGCAAACACAGGAAGAACATCTGTGAAGTTTCTTTTCAAACTAGTCTAAAAGTGAATGCTGAAATACAAATTAAATGTGTGATACAGAGAATCAATGGCTTAACTTTCTGTCACAAAGTTTTACGTGTGCCTCAAAGAGCCTGGATTTATAATCACTGGCTGGAGCATTTCTACACTTTTCTATTGCATGACTCAACACTGTATAGTGCCCTTATTTCCTTTTGTGAATCAAATGAATATTTTTCCCACTAAGACACACACATGATCAGAAGTTAGCTGTTCTGAAAAAACAAATAAAGGCATACCCATATAGTTATACTAAAAAATATGGAACAATATGTGCAGCTTATATGAATATCTATTCCAGTAAATTTTAAGATGAGAGAAGTTCTACCTTCAGGTACTTTCCGCTTGCCTGTTGCTGGCTTTGTCTTCTTATTTCTTACTGTAGATCCTCGACTACTGATTCCACTAATCACTGACATGGTATCATCATCCCCACCGGCTAATAAAGAGTTTCGGTAGGACATGAGAGGAAGCCACACATCTTCTCTTCGTAGAGACATCTGAAAGGTCATGAACTTCTCCAAGTAAACATACCTTTAAATGAAACAAGAAATACAGAGATGCAAAAAATCTGTAACAAAATGTTACCATCTCAAGATAAGTAACTACTGAAATTATTAGCCTCTGTTTCTCATCTAGTTAACACCAAGGCCTGACAACAGCAAATCCAGAACACAATTTCTGTTTATCCACCATAAAATGAAAAATAACAATAATAAATACAATTTACCTTCTGTGAGTATACTTGACTACATTAGTGTAAATTTACCTTGATGTGCCAAAGATTGCACTTTAGATGAATGCACAATACACAAATATTTATTCTGATGCACTTATTTTGTGGTTATCATTACAAATAATACAAATATTAAGAAAATACTTACACTGTTCTTTTGTCTTGTCTGAGAAGTTTCGAGGAGAACTCACTGAGAATATCGAGAAATGCCAAATTTAATGGTGGGTGGCTCTCACCTTGTGGATTAGGCTCCTTAAAAGCAAATTCTATGCCATCCCTAAGAACAAATAAAAAATTACATCAGAAAAACAAACAGAAGTTCAAAGCACTGTGAGTTACCAAAATCAAAACCCCTTCCTTTATGCCAAGAAAGCAATAATTTGATGTTTCTGTATTCTAGCAAAAAATATGAACACTAGTTATTACTTGAATCTGGACACACTTTCTGTCATGGAATTTCAACCTTGCACTGTGGGTTTTCTGCATGAGGCCGACAGGCCCACCACTGACAATGAAGTGGATCCGTTCTTATTGTTATGGACCAGACATTAGAAAGGATTTTTCATTATAGCATCAACACTGTTATCATTTACACACTTATACAATGATGCTGGAGAACACCAACAATATTAAACATTTAGATTTACTCAGAGACAAAACTGCAGTCATCTTCTAATTAATATATGGGCTGTATCATCTCTAGGGCTGATGCACTTAGTATTAACAAACTAATTTTCAAAGACTAGGAAGATTATTTTATGTTAGTCAAGAAGTGTTTACAAAAATGGAAGTAATACAAAGCACACAATTACTTGTGTAACATAGCAATAGCTTCTCTTGTTTTCAACTGATCCAATCCAAATGTTAAAGCAAAACGTCGAGCAAGCTCCTTTATACCACTGAATGTTGGTGATGATCTGTCAAAATTATAACCATTTTCTTGAATCATTTCATTGAAGAGCTGCATGGAATAAAAAGGGAAATTTTCATGTATTATGCTAAACTTTGGACCAATACACAGAGAGATAAGTTTCAGTTTGGAAGTATGTTTCACAGCTTTTTCCCCCCCACTCCTACTCTGACAACATCAAGAGACAAACATGGACTTTTTGGACAGTGAAGTCAAAGCTACTCTTTTGAAGAGTCTGCACCCCAGTGATAAACTCTGAAATGCACTGTCCAAGCACTCAAACTGCAGACGTACTGGATGACAGATTTCAGTACTTCACTAAATCAGGTGTTCTAATGTTGAGAATACAAAAAATTAGTAGGATTCCCTAATTACATACACTAACAGAGAAGAAATAAATGGGGTGATCCTCACCTGGTCTTTACTATAACACATTGTCAAACTACTAGTTCCCGATTCTTTTATTTTCTTCTCAAAACACAGGTATAAAAAAGAAACTCTAAAATGGAAATGTGTTCGGGAAATTGCCAAAGACACCAGAAATTCTGTCACCAATTATGAGATTTTGAAGTACTCAGTATCAGTTGTCAAAGCCAAATACTCTGAACTTTACAGTCTTTTCTTTTCTTTGATCAATCATTTTCTCATCCTACTGAATTCGACTATAATTCACTTCAATAATAAATTTTTCTATTTTTTAAATTTTGTCTAACACACCCGTCACTCTTCTGTATCACAAAGAATGAAACAAAGAATATTTAGTTACATATTTTACACTGCAATTCCACCAGCTACTTAAGAGTTATGCTGCTATCAAAAGGAAAAGCCTCATTCCCCCTTGGTTTGGCAATATCCATACTGATAAACCAGCCCTAACTTTAATAAGGACTATTTCCATTTGGCCTCCACCAGGCTCAATATCCAGATCTATATTCACTATGTCGCGTTATAACCTTTAGTCAAAAACCAGGGATAGAGAAAATATATTTGGGTAGATTTTCCTTTCATGGATAGCTGTGATCTATGCTGGATTACAGTGTTTTGGAGATATAGGTGTCTACTGTTCTGAGCCTGTGAATAAAATCCATGCAGATGGTTTATGTGAGGAGATGAATCAAAAGCTAACTTTAACTGAATTCATCAGGTTTCCACACAAACAAACTTTATTGAAGAGAACATTAAAGTATGTTTTATTGTCGAATGTGTGAAGTCTCTACTAAACAAAGAAATTACTAAAGCTTCAAATTAAATCTCAGTATAGTTTAAAAACCCAAAACCAAAACAACACCCCCAAAAGCAAAACAAAACCCCCACAAAAAAAACCCCAACCCCTACCACACAGACAGGAAGTATTAATCTGTTCACAAACAAGTAAACTGGCCATTTCACAACATATATCAGAATACCTTACTTAAACTATTGTTTTAGAGTTATGAAGGTTTTACAGAGTTACGCTCATTTTGTATTTATTGACCTCTCCTACATTTTTTGTGATACAATATTTGGTAAGTATAGGAAGACTTCTGGCAGTTTTTCCCATAGCTGCAGAAAATGTGTTTCAGTTTAGACATATTTATCCCTATTGCTCATAAAAATTTCATCATCAATATCTCAAACTAGTTACTAAACAACAGGACATCATCTACAGTATTGAATTTCATGCATAAAAATATTATAAACTCTTACCTGCTGCAAACTAAGAATAAGTGTTTTAGCACACTGGATTTTATCTATCTGCCTTGTTTTACTCATCGTTTCTTTAATAATATCACCATAGTCATTGTAATACTAGGAAAAACAAAAAAAAAAAAAGGTGAACTGTCAGTGTTAGTTGAAAACATTGCAATTACTGAATTCTTCTGAAAACAAAATCTAGGATATGATCTTTTAGAAAGAAAAATCAAACATTAACTAAAGGGAAAAAAATCCCAACATGTTCATGACTACACCAAAATTACACCCTAAACCACTTCCAGAATAATAACTGAAAAAAAAACCCATAAATGCAAAAGAATAAATCCACTTTTCGTTCTTGCAGTGAGTATTACTTTAGAGGCAGAATGACCTATTTATCTTCAGGGCCATGACATATTTGTTAATAACACATGTTCACCCCTTCAGGGTACAAGATTAGACTCTATCTTTTTACTAACTCCTGTGACTCTGGTGGGGAGTTTTATTTTCTTTGCTGAAAGAATGCACTTACAGACAGCATCATAGGCATAATTTGTCCAATAAAGACAGCTGTCTGTTCAGTTTTTTAAGTATTTCGGGTTTAAGAAAGACCCAATTAGTTATTTGGAGAATCAAAATATATGTAGGGCACTCAAGACAGATAAAAGCAGGCTGCTGAAATTTTAAGTTTTTAGGGTAATCACCAAGGAGCAAAGCTTTATCATGTTCACAAAATGAGAACTCATATTAATGTGCAGCTGTGAATCCCATGAGCCAGGAGAGGTTTTTATATTTAAGTAAGATTGGAACAGATACAAAGATAATGGGGAGAGGGGACTCAAATTTTACTTCTCTTCTACAAAGTTTAAACTTCAATTATTGGATGAGACTAGACATCATGAGGTTGATCTTGGGAAGAACATTCTCAAAAGGCCTACTAAACTAGTAAGTGAATCAAAAATACACCATTAATCAGAGTAAGAAAATAAAACTAGTAAAAACAACACTAAAATAATGAGTTTCCCCCCTTGGTCCCCACCACCCACACAGCACGGGAACTGCAAAACTCATCTCTGTAATTTTTGCCTCTACATACTAAAAAGGGCCTACACCTGTGGAGTTTTGAATTCTTCACATTTTGAACCAGTTATCTTGTAAGGTAAAAAAACAAGAAATAGTTAAAAATCCCACAATTACTGTATTCTAGTAGTTTTATGAAGTACCACTACTAAGCTTCAAATTTACCTTCATATATTGCTTGAAAATGTCGGCGGCTGTGTTCATTTCCACCACAGTATATACAATGAGCTTACAGAAAGCTGCAAGGAGGTTTCTTCTTTTGTGTAATGCTTCAATTTTGCTGGCTTCATCATCCTGCTGTCCATCTAAAAAGAGTTCAAAACAGGAAAATTGTCAGGTTTAAAGACTCCATGTTTAAACATTTATATATAAAACTAACATGGGCTAGTGGTCATGATTCAGAAAATCATATCTCAGTTCTGATGGAATGCACTCCACTGTCCACTGATATATCTGTTACCCTGATACAGTGATAAATATGTGAGCCTACTAAAACAAACCTTTATTGCAATTATCCTCCATGTTCCCAGTACAGAAAATCCTTTAATCATCTACTGACATTTAAAAGACACACCTACCTCTGTGCACATGCACACCTCTCAATGACAAAACAAAATTAAACTGAAAAAACAACCAGGCAAACAAGAAACAACCCAACAAAATGCCACCACCAGAATGCAGAAGGAAAGAGACAAAAAAAACAGAAATGCACAAGGAAACAAAGATATTAGTTAGAAAAAAAAAATAAAAAGGAAATTTAAATTTTGTACAAACCCGCACTATTATTATCATCATCCTGATCAATGAAGACATGATCTAAAATAAAACTGAGTAGTTCAGATTGCAAGGAAGAATCAGGAGTGTAAACAAGTGGCTCCAAGATGTCACGTCCTCCTGTCATAATCTGATGGCTGAAGATCATCAACACATCACACAGAATTGTGAAAGCCTGTTAAAAAGAAACCTTAATAAATACTTGCTTGGAAAGTGGATTTTGTTTAGATAATGTATTTGCACTTGACAAAATACTCAAGATCTCATCAGTGTACACAGGCCACTGAAGCCCTACATAACTACAAAGGCCAACTGAAGCCAAAATGTGCATAGTTTCACACAGCCGGTTCCTGTATTTGGACACCAAGTCTTGATAAAAATATTGCACAGATGATGCCAAACTAAATATTAAAATGTTGCAAGATTAAAACATGAGAAGCCTGAAACTCCCAAACTCTACATGATGGATATTACATTAGGTCACTAGAGAACTTTGTGGACTCTGACCATTGTACAATCTCCTTTTTGGCTGACTTTTCTTAAAAATGTTTCAATCACATTTGTTTAATATATAACAACTGAGATTATTCAACCCCTTTAAATCCTACTGCCCAAAAATGCAAAAGTGCAACCAACTTTTTCTTTTGCTGGTCAACCTGTACATCTAATATCAGAATTAAATGTCTGTAATCCACTGCCCCAGAAGGTTCAAATGTCATAGCACCTGACACAGGGACTGACATTCTTCAAAGCAGCAGACCAAGGCAACAAGCTGCTTAGTGCTGCACCTTCTCTTTGGCTCTCGTCTCCCAAGTATTTCCATGAACCGGTCTGCTCTCTGCCTCCTCAAAGTGATTACTACTAATTCCTGGTCACAAAAAATACATGTGCTCCTCTGAAGTCCCTTGTTTCCTTTCATGAGATTAGAGAAGGGAAGTGGAACCCACACCAAGTGGAACACTGCACCCTGTGTGACAGGTACCCTGTGTAACCAGGCAGCTCTAGTTTCTAGAGCGTCCACCAGAGTCTGAGAGTCATACACTCCCGGAGAGACCTGCTCAGAGCTTCAGTAATTTTTGTTACTAGCACCTTCACACCCTAAACCTTGTGACTATTACACTCGATAGCTCTTTGACATAGAACATGCCTATTAAGCTCCAGGAATACTCTTATTTTAGCAGGAGTTTCAAAAGCTGCAATTGTGCAACTCAGTGGACCAGATTTTCCAACTTAACCAGGTTATTATTATCTTCAGCAGCAAAAAGGCTCCTGGCTTTCTATGTCTTTAATTAAACAGTCTACCTAGAAGATAATCTGGTCCTTCGCCTGTAGAGACATACTTCATTTTCTTTCATTTTAGCATTTTAAAGATTGTTAAAGGCATTTGCTTAAAATTAATTCCGCTATTGGTAACCTGCGCTTTTCACTGGAACCTCAAAATCCTATGAACTGTTTTAAACTCTGTTATTCTCAGAACAAGTGTTTCCCAATGTCTCAATTCTTTTTGAAACAGAAGCAAAAACTAAAGACGAACCCCAAAACCTTCATGCCAATATTTTAAAAAAGTCAGGACTTCTGTCTCCTGCCTGAACTGTCATGTACGACTTACTCAAGCTCAAGATCTGCATTTTTTATGTCTGAAACATTTAAGAACTTAGTTCTAGCTCAAACTCTTCCCCACAAAGGGCAACTGTATGAGGGACTAACTATAAAGCTGCTCACATTTTTTCTAAGCAGTGCATCATTGCTGAGGCTTCCAAGCATTTGCTACAGCATCTCTGAACAACATTATTACCAACAGAGCAGTGTGAGTGTTCCTAAAGGTGACTCCAAAAAATTCCCATTTCCCAACAATAAACTCTCCTAGGTTACAGTGAATATTTTGTACATGTATAAACATATACAACTCATCTTTAGTAGTCTGTTTTTGCCTCCTGATTTTGAGATCCCCAAATTCTTGGGACTCTGAAAAACTGAGGAATACATTGTGATATAAAGCAACACAGAGAAGGAAGAGAAGGGAAGCTGCACCTGCATCCATTCAAAGATAAAACCAAACAAAACCCTTTTAAATTGCCATCCTTAGCCAGTTTTGAGGCTATGAATCCACAGCTCCACAGGAGATGTGGGTCATTAGCACACGGTAAGCAAAAGGTTTGAAATGGAACTCTCACTCAGCTTAAACCCAGAGGCTTTTACAGTGCACCTGCAGAGTCATTACTTAAAGTAACAAAAAAAAAAGCTCCTTTGCATACAACATTATGCTGCCTAAAATTACTCGAAAGATTCAAGTTAAAATTGATTCTGAAGTCCTATATACACAAGGAGGACAAGCATACAAGTACCATATGCACTGACACTCAAAGGGCACTCAGCCTGAACATTCAGGACATCATGTTCCCACAGAAGTGCCAAAAATATTAGTAAGAACTTTCCAGCTGCATTAAAAGTACAGTATTAGAAGATTCCAAGTAACAACAGCCACTAACCTGTTCCTTAACAGCAGTATTTACATTGGTCAGGTAGTGTTGACAGATTTGACAGAACACTCTCATCTGCTTCTTCAGACGTAGAAGATCCTCCTTTAAAGAGAATGATTACATGTAACAGTTTTGCTTTTTCAATTTTACAGTCCCATACAGTGCATTCACTTTCACAGAACATTCCACCACAGACCTTAGTGGTACTATTCAAGTCCACTACATTAAGAACTCACTGTTACAAATAAAATTAGCACGTAGCAATTTCCTTAATATTGCCATTCTGTGTAGCACAGCAGAGATGACAGTTGGGATGAAAATAATGGTTTTTTTTAAAATGTGGTAACTAAAAAAACTGTTACAAAGGAGAAGAAAAGTCTCAATAAGGGACCACTTTTCCATTAGGTTCTTTTCATTCCTGCTGAAAGTATTACAAATTACATTTTGCTGCAAAACAGCTAGGATAATCTTCATTTCTAAACTAACTTGTCAGTATTTAGCTCATCTTCTGCCATCAGGCTTGAGATAAAGCTTTAATCACAATTACAAAAACCTCAAGACTACTGTTTACCCTTTAAGGAATAAGGTAAGACAACCTTCAAATCCTTCACACACCTAAATGCCTCTGAACAATCTGTGCAGCCACTTCTTATCAGGTATTTGGGGGTGGAAATGTTAAAAGCCATTAAAATACAAATGGGTAAACTAACCAGCTAGTGGTCAAGCTCATATTCCTCTATAACACCTTCAGACTATAATTACTCACTGGACTAAAGAAGTCTCAATAGATAGGGAAAATTGTCATTATCTGATACAGGTGTTCTCTGTTATAAGATCATTATAATCAGTACAAGTTACACAGCATGATTTTCCACTCCTGCATCTACCAGAAGCCCAAACTACCACATTCTAAAATAAAAAAAAAAAAAAAAAAAAATTAAAGGAAAAATGTGTGTATCCTCACATTAAAATTAGAGTATTGTAAAAATGGATTATTAATTACTCATACACTATTAATGTGATGAGTTCCCACTGTTTTCTCTCTAGTAAATTGTGACAGTCATATACAACTTTTTTTTTTTCTTGTATTAACTACAGCCATGACAATCAAAGTGTTTAAAAAACCTGAAGAATTTACTTGTCTCCACTCTGATATAAAGAAAGGTGTGTTAGCAGAAACTCCAATAATGAAGTGCAACTCCAGCACAGAATGCCAGTAAAAAAGCACTCTAATTACAGGAACTGCAGAAAAAGTGTGTTTGATTACAGGGATTACATTTTTTAATTTTAGCTAGAGAAATCATTAAAATATTTCAGCACTTACAAACTCAATTCTAAAGTAGTTAGGCCTTCGAAAAAAGCCTTTTTATATTTGGCAGTTCACACAGTGAACCACCTAATCAACATCTTCAAGCAATGCTGGATACAGGAAACCTTAATCCTTTCTCTAAGATTTTTCAAGAAGTGAAATTGGAAAGATGACATTTGCCAGAGCTTTGCCCTTCAAGATTACTACACATAGAACCAGAACTGGGCCTCTCATCATTCCCTGAGAAGATACGAAATTTAACTTAATCTTTTCACATTTTATTTAACAATAGATTTAAAAGACTGAGGAAGGGTAAAGTAGGATTGTGACATACTGAGCAATAAGAATAGTATGATAGTACAAATTCTTAGATCTCACCAACTTGTCACTGATACTTCAAGGTTTCCAAACAAATCCAAACCCACTTCCTGAGAGGAGTAAGACTGACTATTCTGTGTTTGGTAACTTCCATTCTACCCCTTCGTGGCATTATTACTGTGGCTGATAGGTATCATGTTTATTTACTATTACTTTAAAATTCAGTCAAATTAAACATAATACTGACATTCAAATAATAAAAACAATTGAAGAAATGACTAGGTTTGTAAAAGTAAAGAATGTGACTACTAAAACTATTAATTCAAAAGAACATTAAAAAAGCAGGATTAGGTAGGTATCAATATAAAGAAAATTCCTAGTTTTAAGTAACTTCATCACAATTTCCACTTGATGACACTGCAGCTATGTACAAATGTTTATTTACTAATACAGCTGGACCAGGGCATACCTTTGTGGAACTGCTTTCAGTAACTTTCGCTAGCTGCCAAAGGATTACATAATGAGTACACTGCAGTGCATGAATAACAATCTGAAATCAAAAGGAAAAAAAGCATTAGATGACAAAGACCAATAAAAGACAGCAACAAAAGCTATTTGTTGTTGTGCCTAAAGAACACATTTTAACTACAGACCTGTTCTGGCATGTCTCCATTTTCAATGCCAGTTTTCAATAGCTTGTAGTTGCAGCCAAACAAGTCCCATCTTGATAGGTCATGAGCACTGGAAGCATTAGAAATGAAGCACAAAGTATTATTTAACTAATACTTTTTCTGCAGTTTGAGGTTAACAAGTACTAAAAGCTTAACTAGTCAAAAATAATTAACCACGTAATTAATTAATTTGATTTTTTAAAATAGTGTTGAAAAAACCCAGCCACTGAAAATCTCCCCACCCAAACCAACACACACACAAAAAGTAATTTAAAAAACCCAAAACAATTCCATGAATGGCATTAAAAAGTAAGATGTATCATATTAAAAACAAACAACCCGCTCACCACAAACCCCGATACTGAATTAAAAACAAACAACTCCCCTCACCACAAACCCTGACAGACGCATGCAAAAGCCAACTTACTTGTGAAAAGCAGTGATTCTCTTCAGTGTTGACAAGACTTGATATGCATCATCTTCATCAGGTTCCTCCCCCTATTTAATAATCATACAGTGAGATATCTCAAGCAGTGTATCTAAGTGAACTGAGGAACTTTGTAAAACCAAATAAACACACCCCCAAACAGGGGGGGCAGGAGAGGTGTGGACCTGATGCTAAATGATTTATCATGTTACATATGCTTTTAGAAGAGTTAGAGAGATAGGGCAGCCAGCAGTTCATATCTAGAGATGGAGTCAATGATATTAAATATCTTTTCCAACCTAGACAATTCTATGATTCCATAAAATAGCAGCTGAAGAAGAAAGAGGGGGAGGGGGTGGGGAGGAAGGAGAAGGGAGAAAAGGCCTAGGCTAGCAAACTACAGTGTATAATGTAGGTGCTCCTATTTTCTCTGAAGAATCCAGCAGAGGCCACTGTCAGACAAAAGACACTGGACTAGATGGGCCACAGGTCAGTATTTCAGTCCTACTTTAATCACAGAAAAGTCTTTGAGTGAGGTAAGGGAACTGGCTTGTTCTGATCTTCCCGTAAGTTCTGACAAACTCGCATTTAGTGAAAAAAAAAGAGTAAAAATGGAAGGGTCAAAAAAGTATCTCTTTGTACATAAGATAAACTATCTGAGGTCAAGAAACTCCTCCTTAGTCTAGCAGAGATAATGCAAGTTTTACTATTCTGTAGTTGCACAACCTATCAAAGAACTAAGGATTTCAACACTTCCACCAGAGTATTTGCCATTTTCTTTCAAGCCAACTTCTGACATCTCATTTCCTTGCTTTACCTCTCATTCTTTCTTTTCATCACAAAGGGAAACAAATGGGCACATTTCTTGTTTAGGATTTCTAGAATGGAGTTCTAGTTCAGAACAAAAAGCAAGAGAAAAAAAGGAGAGCTTGATAAACTACATGCATCTAAGAAATGTTAAGAATGAAGCTGTCAAAAAGACACTTCCCATGCTCCTCTCACAGATGAAAAGGAGAAACAAATTTTATCTGAACGTCAGAGATCCCACATAGTGAAGTTAAATATCAGAAGATTCTCACTTCTCAGATCAACACAGTGTGGGAACAAAGTTATTTTTGATCTACTAACTGCATCTGCTTGCATTCAGGAAGGGAGGGGGAGTGTTTTCTAGAGATTTTGATATTTAACAACAGCAATGTGCAACCACAACAGGCAAGACTAGCTACAGTAGTACATCTGAGGAGATTCCTTGGGGAATTACAATATTACATCTCTCAAAACTGTAAGCCTCAAAAGCTAAGAGTAAAAAGTTTATGTATTTAATTGTTTATCTGAAACTTATCTCAAATTCCCATAGGACTCTTGTCAAAAGGAGACCAAAATTAAAGACTCACTAAAAAAACAGTCTGTTCACACTATCACAGCAGCGACACTTTTGTATTATTGCACTTGACTTAAGAGTTTTGAAAACCAGAGGGAAGCTCCCATCCCTAGCTCTGACTTGCAGAGAAAGACAGAAAAAATACTGAAAATATTTACAAGGGCAGGAAAAGGTGATCTTGCACATTAAAATACCTCTTGCAGGAAATCCTCAAGAAGTCGATTAAACTTGTCTGCCAATTCATCTATTAACTGACTTCTTGCAATGTCAACCCTGTTAAAGATTGTGAATTCTTCATTACAGAGAGCATGGTAGGTTTTTGAACAGGCTTCCAAAACATCTATATCTGTGTGCTTCTCCACAATATCCCGAATTTGTCGCAGTAAGGCATCCAAATGCTACAAGGAAGAAGAGCCAAAGAAGAAAAGATGCATTTTTATTTTCATATATATATTTATATATACACACATGCAAATATACACACACATTTTTAATAAAACTTTTCAGATTTTTAAAAGGTAAATTTTGATTATTACTTTTGTAACTATGATACAGAACAAAGCTTCTGAGAAATTAAGTCTATTTATCAAAAATTAAGTTGGAGCTTGTCAAAGACCAAATCACAGAAGTGATTAAAAAAGTGATTTGCTATTGTTGGTATGGTCTTATCTAACACTTGAATTTGCAATGACAACTGAACAACATAGAAGTATTTACCTCCCACTCACAAACCTTTATGCATGTTTATGTGTGCCTTAAAAGCTGTATAACTGAAGTTTTAGTTTCATAATACTCTATTGTCCACCAACTAAAGCCACCTTCAGCTGTTCTTATACTCCCCCCTCAACCTGAGACGCTCACTGCTGCTCAATCACTGCTGGCTGTGCTGCCAACTACACATTTCATCACTTCTTGGCTCTAGTGATTTCCAGCTACCTCCTTTCACAATGCAATAGGACATCTGAGAAGGAGACAATAGAGATGAGAACAGCTTCAACTGCATCATCATAGCAGATAAAATGAGAGCAGTAACTACATCATTTGTGATCTGGTATCCTGCCTCTTTTTCATTCAATGATGATGGAGGTTTTCTAGTTTCAGTGACAGAAAAAGAGAACTTACTGAGCTGTTTCTACAAGCTTTATCTGTCAGACAGCTATCACAAACATGACCATAATCCAGCAATAAAGGTTCTCAATTTAAGTTCATTTAACTGGAAGATGTTCAGTTAAAACTGGCCAGACAGGCCTTAGAAAAACTTGTGTTTTCAGTATATCTAAGAAGAGGACCCAGCCACAACTCTGAAATCAAAGTTGCGCCATTAGTAAGGGTTACAATAAATAAAATGTCCTTTACACAAAAAAACACTCCTAAAATGGTAATGAAAATTCCAATGATGAAGTCTAAATTCTGAGGCTTTTCCTTTTATGTTAATGTGTGGATGTTACCATACCTTTTCTAATCGCCCTGTTGTATAAATTTCCAAATCAAAGTACTGTGGCAACTGCAGTAAGTTGGTGACTTTTTCTGCATCTACAGAATACTGTAAAAATGACAAGGAAAAAAGTTTAGTTAGAAGAAATCCTGGACAACATAACATAATTCATTTTAGAACAAGTAGATATAAATAAAGATTAGTAAGAAAAAAATTAAAACTTGTGGTAAGCTGCATCATTAATTACAGAAACATACTTTTAAACATTTCAACAAGCTTCCATCAGTGAGAAATGGAATTAAACCTACCTTTGCTAGCAACTGAGGAAGTGCCACTGCAAAAAGCTCAGTAATTTTTGTCCTGTCATCCAATTGGGTCTTCTTTTCCTTTGCTGTCAGCACCTAAAATATTGGTATTGTGAGAATTTTATAGCTAAAAGTTCTGGTGCAAAGTTTTATTATAATTAATGAAAAGATGATTAGGTACATGGACCTCTAAAATCACTGTAACGTATCAATGTAAAGCAGGAAGAAAGTGTGCAATTAAAAAAAAAAAAAAAAAGGAAAAACCAACATTTGGCATTCAAAAAATGCAATTCAAAGTCAGTACTAACACTATTAAGATTATCTTGAAAACAGAAGTGATAACCTTTCCTGCAACAAAATATCATTACTGGAATGACAACATAAGAATGGGAACCCCTTTGGCTTAGATTTTTTAACAATATTTACTCAATTGATTTGTCAATCCTATGTTCATACAAGCTTTCAACCTGTTCTTAAATGGGTTTCTTACCAAAATATGCACCAGTCTTGAGAGAAGATTCCTTAATGTCTCCACAAAAGAGGCTGCCTAAACTCCATACAATCACAGAAAAGCCAGCTGGTGGATTGCCCTTCTTTCAAAAGACTATGTGGTGTATTTTCCTTTCCCTCATTTTGCTCTTTCATACTGAAAACAGTTTTAGCTTTTCCCAAACATTGATTCTAGTCCTCCCTTCAAAGTAATACTGTTTTCAGAATGAATTTCTATTATCTTTAGTAGTACAAATGCAATAGTTTGAACAGTACTAAGCACGTGCCCAAGTCCAGAAAAAGCAAACTAGCCAAGGTAGTCAGACATGGAGACCAAAGCTAAATCTCCCATCTCAGTCTCTTCAGCAGCTACAGCCTACAGTCTCTTCCTTCTTCCCACAGTGGCCCCACAGAGCCACTCCCACATCTCTAGATGAGGAGGTTTTTTGCTTCCTACCCTTTTCCCTGTTCCTCTTCCCACAGGAGGATGACATTCAGCCGCCTGCCGAATTGTACAAAGCATGATTTCAATCAGTGCGCTTTCCTGTCTGTCTGTTAAAGCTGAAATTTAAGAAAGAGATGTTAACACACAACTTATTTTTCATTTTCCACAAGGATTAAGATATGTTGGGGTTGCTGTTTGGATTTTGGGTTGGTTTTTTTTTTTTGCTTTTTTGTTTAAGGCAAGAAGACAGACATGTAGACCAACAGCTCATTTCCAGAGATGAGGGTGACAGAGGGGATAGGGAAAGTAAGTACCTTATAAAATGACACCAGAAAATATTGAAAAACTGAGGGAATAGCACTGGATAGGTCACAGGACAGGATGGAACAAACACTAAGTTTTAAAATTATTTTACTTCCTTTCTATTTTTTCAGAGGTCCATTTACTAGGACCTATGAATTACAGAACTATACCAGGGGTTTTGTTTGGGTCTACTCTCATCAAAGAAATAATGATATTTTTCCATATGGTAGTTGTAACAATAAATTAACCAGTTTCACAAGCAACTTAGTTTCTCTATGCCAAAAGTGCAGCCTGAACTTGTGGAACACCAAAGCAATACTGCATGCTAATTCCTTCTCTTTTCTTCTAACCATTGCTCTTGTGTAACACTTCCACACCAGGTGGTGATCTCTTTCTACACTCCCTCACATTTCATAATTGGTATTAGTGACTTCTTATAGTCATGGAAACACAGAAAATATATGTAAACATCTTTTCCTTATTTCAAGCCTAACAAAAACTGCACAGCAATATAAACAAAGATCTACAAAAATCTCTTACGTTCTTCTCCATTGAGAGGCTCCTCCAGCAGAAGACTGTTCATACATTCCCAGTCCTTCAAGAGGTCTGTTGCACAGTCCCACATGCTGTCCACAAGATAAGCAGCATGTTCGTGCAACTAAAATAAGAACAGATTAAGTATTTTATCAGTAGTTAATCAGAAGATTATTAAAGAACTATAATACAGAGTATTTCTTGCACTTGGCTCCTGCCCATGGCAAAAATACAAAGCAAGTTTTGCAAGCTCTCTGGTTAAACATAAGATTTTCTTCCCCAATTAACTTAAAAAGATTAATCCAGACCAACAGCTACAGGGAGTAGTGCTACAAAATCTGTCAGAACTTGGGGGATAGGTGGGTAGGGATTGTGGGGTTTCTTTTGCCTTTTTCTCTCTCCTCTTTTAAATCAAATCACAATTTCTCTACACTACAAACAAACATTGTCCTGTTTGTCAGAGTAGCACACACAGTGTCTCAATACTGTGTACTGACAGATCCCCCAAATAAACACAACCATACAAAACAGGCTTTGGACCCCCAGATTGCTCAAACAACAGAAAACCAGGACAGATTTATGGTTATTAACCAATCAGTGGGGAAAAGAATAACAACAACAAAATAACTGACAAAAATTCGAACCACAACAACAAAAACGCACACACCACAAAAACAAGGACATCCCTGAAACCCAACTTACTTCACTTTCCAAGAAGAAAAACACTAATGTCTTCACAAGATTAGCATTTGGACTTTGTCTTCCCCTCCTTTTCAGTATTCCATCATCTTCAGCATCTCTGCGGCTGAAAAGCCTAAAAGAAAAATTATTTCTTGACAAGTTTCTTTTTCATTACCTTCACCACAGTCATTTCACATCAAGATATAGTTTTTTACACACTAAATACCTTGTTGCTTCACTCCATATTTTACTTTGAAAGGAAGTAATTTGGGACAAGTATCATTTGAACAATTTCATATATGCATTTTATATATGCTGAATTGATATGCCACTGACTGTTTCCAGTGGGATGTATGATTATAACAAAATGCTTTACAAACATCAGTGATAATTGCAGGTGCTTGAGCTCTATGCTCCTCCTCAGCGAATGATATTTTCTAAACCTCCCTACGGGAGACTTTAAAACAGCTGAGAAATATTGGATGGAGGTCTACAAAGTATTAACTAGGACTCTATTTTCTTCTCCTACACACCTGACATTCTGGATTTTTAGTGGATTTTTTAAATGAAAAATATTTTATGAAATGGTCATATGGGACAATGGGGAGGAGGCGGGCACAGGGGAGGAACTACAAATGGGGAAACACTCATGATGTAAGCCCAAGTTTTAGGCCCCAAACTAGATAAGCATTTTAAGGCATTTCACAGGAAGAATGGGAAAGGAGAAGACATAAGAACATTTTTATTATATTCCCTGAAGGTACAAGCTTTCAAAGTGCAGCCTTCCAAACTTCTGTTTCCCATTCAGAAAACTACAGCAGTTTAGAAAATACAGAAATGTTACATTGTCTCTTCTTTCTTATGGCCACTTTGATTAATTTTTTCCTTTTCCTGATTAAATCTAGTAAGAATCATTGTATTAATGCCCACAAGTGCACAAATATCTACAGGATCAAGAAGTTAACTGTAATTTCTCCATCTTACTTTTTATAAAGAAATTCCCCTGCGGCAACTGCTACTGGCCGATGAGCTGAATAAACCAGGTGGTAGACATTTTCACAGTCTTCTGCTGTCAGAACTTCTTCACTACTCCTAGGGGTAGGGATGGGAAGAAGGAAAGAAAGAAAGAAAGAAAAAACCAAAAAGGCTGAGTCAACAAAGTATGAACTCTAATGAGGGAGATGGAAATGAATGAGAACCTAAACCTTTTCCTTCAATTTATCATCCTAAAACTCCAGATTCTTAGTTCTAAAGTCTTCCTGAAGAAAATTAACTGATGAAGTATGAACTATTGCTACAAGGTTATGCTCAAGAGTTGAACTACTGTATAATGTTCAATATAATCTGTGTTCTTCATTTCAAACATTCTATGCTAGTTTTTAACTGTGAGGCTGAATTCCAAATTCCTAGCCCTTACCCCTACTGAACTGTGGGAGATAAGCAGTAACACTGTTCTAGATATATTACTTTTGGAATTCCATTTAGTTTGGGTGTAAGATGCATAGCCATTTCTATAGCCTTCAGATTATCTGAAGTGTCATGCTGCTGGCTTCACCCACAAGGATGAGAAACACTTAAGTTTTGGTATTTTTTTGTATGTTAGGTAAGGAAATATACGTGTACTTACTGTAAAACAAGAGTGAGTAATTTTATTGCTTGGACTGCAACATCATATTCTTTGTCAAGAGTCATAGACACAATTCTATCCTAAGAACACAAGAAAAATATTTTTGAAGAGGAAACAAGTATAATGCAACTTTTAAAAAAATCACATATACTCAAAGTAAGAAGTAACACTAACCTTGAACCGACTGGTGAAGAGTTCCAATTTGGAATTAAGCTCCTTATTATAGTAAAGCCCTTGCAAAGCAGTTAGGCATTTGAGTCTTACTTCTCCTTGCTAAAATAAAATTAAGAACTGAATTACAAGTCAAGTATAGGATACAGATCTGATCTTCATGTCATACAAGACAAGTTTCTTTTAAAGTCAGAATTAATTCAAAACCAAAGATGAAATGCTGTCACAATACACTACCAATAATCATGTTAACAACCTAAGAATATAACCTTGTTTCTAACAAGGCAGTGAAGCAACAAAAACAAACCCCCCCCCACCAAGGTCTTACTGCAGTTACCATCTCCATAAATCAAAATACACTTGTTTCATTCTTTCTAAACACTCAAGATACATCTATCATTGATGACCATCCCTTGTTCAGTCAAAATTACTAAGTAGATAAAAAGAGAAACACTCCTCTTGAAATACAAGATCTGTTTCAGCAGAGAACATGTTCTAAGGTACAGATGAACTCACCCCACTGTCAGAGGTTATTGGGTTTTTACACCAAGCCCATGAACAGCACAGCAAAACTAAGCAGCCCTCATTTTTTTCACTTAAAATTCAACAGCTTGAAGTTTCTGATGCAAGAACTGAGGCAATGAGCTGGCTCAATAATGAGTCAGGGAGTGTTTGTAAACTAGATTGACCCCTTCAAGCAGAGAATAGTCTCTACATGGTAGTTGGTAAATAACAGCTTGAGGCACTAAGCAGCACAAAAGGGGGCTTTCCCCATATATTTACAGCTAGATGAGAATGCTGTGTGTGTATATATATATATATATATATATATATATATATATATTTATATTTCTCTAAATATATGACCATTTGCCTATAAATGTTTCTTTAAAAAATACATACGTACGCTCTACAAACATTCAAGTCTGAGTAACCAATTCAAAGTAGTAACCAATTCAAACAGTTAAGAGATCCAAACCTAGTCTGGAAAGATGAGTAATCAAAACCAAGGAGTTCTGCTTCTTGGTTCTGCTCCCTTTGCTCAGTGCAGATTACCTTGTCATGCATAGTCCACCCCACATATTTTAAGTAGCTGTCATTGAGGAAGGCGTCACTGTACATTTTCATCCATATTCCAATCTCCTCAATGCAGATGGCTCTTATTTCAGCAATTGCATCTCTGTGGAGGGAAGTCGGGCAGCAAGTTCAAACAAACGAATAATTAGAAATAAATAACCTACCCCCAGCTTGCAGAATAAAGTAATGATGCTACACATCTCTTACTGAGAGAAACTTACCGGTATCTATGCACAAAAACACCTTTAAATATTGCATTCATCATGTTTTCTATTTCATCCTGATTTTCTTGAAGCTGAAAGAACATAGAGAGTACATGAACAGTGAGCAGCACTTTTACAGTCAGATCAGATAGTGCTGATGCTAGACAAACTAAGTTAGCATTTACAAGTGTGACCATTAAATCCTTTCACAGATTCAAAAATATTCATAGATCTGTTTCACAGTACAATGTTCTATTATTTAAGAAATTGTACCTACCACAGCATACAAATTTTAGTAATTCTGACCACTGGAAAACTGTTCTTCATGTGTAACAAAGGCATCTTGGGTTTCTGAAAGGTCCTTCTTAATTAATTTTTAAGAAAACCTGATTTAATTTTCTAGAAACATTACTGCTTTTTTACCTATCTATGTATTACTCACACTAGGACTGGCCCTGCACACACATCTAACAAAACTACATTGAACAGGTTAAGAGATCAGTCATTAACTGCAAGATCTTTTGGAGATGATCAGAAGACAAACTTGTTAGTTTGTCTGAACTGTCAGGGAAAAAAAACCCTGTAACAGGTAACAGCACAAACACTGAAGAGGAAAGGTGAGATGTACCCTTGATTGTGAAGAAGTTATTCCCGATGTCTAAAAAACAAAAACCTAAAAGAAAACAAACATAACCACCACCACCCAAAAAAGACCAAAAAACAAACAAAAAACCAAACCACCAATTGCCCCAACAGTAAAAACTGAAACCTGATTGAATTAGGGTTTTTAACAAGACAACATTGTCAGCAATGAATCAGCAAGTCTCTTTTACACAAAAGAAAGAGAACAGAAGTAGACTGCATTTTCAACTTTGGTAGTGCTTTCTGTACATGAAAAAAGCCTTATCTAAAGCCTTTAAATACATTTTGTGCTGAGATCATTATTGACATTACAAAAGCAGTATTTTGCTCCAAGATCATGGAGATCTTCTCTAGAAGCCAAAACCTTTCAATGTGTGGTAATTTTTCTTGCATTTTTGAGCTCAATGTAGGAAACTCATCAAGAAATACAACAAAAATGTATCTATTACTGATTGCAGTCTCATTAACTTCATTTCAATACTACTATTTTTAAGACTCTATATTTACTTCTTTTTACAGAAAACCAGACAGTAAGAAGCACCTTGCAAGGCTTTTTCAAGCATTAAACATGAACAATCTGAAGAGCTAGAGAGATGGGTAACTAGCAAAACCAATTACAGAACAAGATTAATTATTAGTGGCCATTTATGAACATTTAAATTTATGAATACTTAGTTGCACTAACCTCCTTCCTCTTCTGTAGTAAGAGTTCCAGCCTATCATTAGCTCTTTTCCCAATTATTTTATTTCGTTCTGCTTCATACTGCCGCTGTGTGTTGTCCATGTTAATACTTAGATTTAATGCCACATTCACTAAAGCAGTCATCAGTTTCATGGCTACAAAAATAAGTGAAAAGAATAAGGATTATTTAAAAGGTTACTTGATCTAAGAAAACTTAGAAGAACAATATTGACACCTCCTCTGGTCAACCCTTTCTGTATCTATGAAAATACATTTACTGTAGTTTTTTGATACACAAACTTTTGCAATGTTTTACCAAGCACTGCATTATTAATTATCAAGACAATAGATGCAGCATTGCTGTTCTGTTCTTTTTTGTCACTTCTTTAATGCCATAAGCATTGTTTCCATTATACGTACATTATTATTATTGAAGTGAGATATAGGGTCTGTTTCCTCCCCAAAATGAAGGTAGAATGTAAGATTAACAAACTTAGACCAAGAAATACTAGAGGAACTTCTGTCAGAGTCAGTTAGATTCATATCAGTCTTAAATATACAAGAAGTTTCTTTCTTCAAAAGGAAATGTCTTAAGATAACCAACACCACCATACCACACCAGTCTTTTTCCCTCAATTTAATTTTAAAAAGGTGAAGGTTTTTCAAAGACTCATTTATTAGCAGAAGCAGAGAAAGCACATTAGCCAACTACAAGTCAGAAAACATAAAACCAAAAGAGAAAACACACTTGTGTGCAATTCTTGTGTCCTTTTATTTTTAGATCAATACTTTTAAAAAGAGTGCAGACAAATATCCCTTTTTCAAAAATTAGAAGGTGATCAATTGTGTACTTGCTTGCCTTGTGAGCTTCTGAAACAAGGCATAAATGGTCTTGCACTGGCAGAGCAGACACAATATTCTTGTGCATGTATCACCAGCATAAAGCTAATGAGCAAGGCTTAAAGACATGCAGTTATATTGAAATACCATCTCACACTGTGATCTTCAAGATTAAAGAGCAAGTCTGAGTTAATCACAGAAGCTGAAATTACCAGAAATACCAGTAAATATGGATACAAGGATTTTGCTGACACTCTTTTCCATATAAAATACCATCTTTAACAATACAAACAGTAAAACTCAGATGAACACACAAAACCAACAGAATTGGCTGCTGTGAACAAACGAAAACACATGGATTATAAAAAAAATTTTTGTTTGACAGAAACTAACATGCAACAGGGCAACTTCTGCAATTTTTATTCAGGCACAACTCCAATTTAAAAAAAAAAAATCCAAAGGTAATAACTTGCTTTTTAAGACCTAGAATTTGTATTAAGTCATATAGTACAACAGTCAGAACTGATGAGACAGCAGAATCTGTAAAGTCTCCTGAAATAAAAAGTTTTGTTCCTCTCTCCTTAAGAAATGCTCTGGCTGGTAGAAGTCACACAGCAGCAGCCCCATGTGCAGCGTGCTGATGTAAATTCAAGAAGCTATCAAGGATACAGAAGGACTGACATGACAGGACTGAAGCCAGCTGTGTATCAGCCAGGTCAATGGAAGCTTCCAGTGTGGCAAAACCTCAGTTTCACACACAGCCTAAATTTACTCGTGCAAAGTAAAATTGTTACCATAACCTCACATAAGCTGACAGCCACACAATGCCATTCACAATCCTTCCTCAGTAATCAGTACAAGTTTAGGACTCCCTAACCCAGGAAGCTCATCCTTTTTCCACACAAATACATACTTCTTTGAAACACTTTATACTTAACTCATAAAGGACCTCTTCACAATTTAACATATTGGGAAAAAAATTATGTGAAAGGGTCAATTACATAAAACATAAAGAAATTTAGAGACTGTATTACTGATGAAAAAATTATTTTAAATTATTTCTAATGCAAAGACTAGAAATGCTACTTTACATAGGCGCAATGACCTCAATATGTAGCACAATTTAAGTCTGTAGTAAAACTTGCATCCAACATAAACTACAACTTCTATTTGTCTTAATGCAGAGCATGAACAGGTTCAACTGCATTTAAGATTAAAAGACACCTACACCTTTATTTAAGACCAAAGAGAATCTAGCAGAATCTACCGAAAAGTTTCCTTCTATTTACTTTTCTATTAAAGGTAACAAAAATTAAATACCAGAGAGCTAGAATGCTTTAAAATAGTGCTGTGTTTTTCAGTAACAAAACTCCAAGGTAAAAAGCAGTCCCAAAGCAAGCTATACAAGATGAAAACTGTTATCACAAAATAAAACACAAGCTGAATGTTGAATATTAAGAAGTTCAACCAGAGTAATTCCATCCCGTGCAACACAAAGCATTAAATGTAAACAATACCCAAACATATATAAATTCACTGACCTGCCAGTGTGCTAGTGTGCCGAAAGGCTCTGACTTGTGAGTCTGACAGCCCCGTAAGCAGGGAAATGACAGTATCCATCATATATTCATCATATATGATGCTATATTGACATTGTCGGACGAGTACTCCAATGAACTCACAAAAACTGGATTTGAACTTTTTCCATTGGGGGCCAGCCATAGTTAGTGGATAATCTCCACTATCCTATTAAAACACAGAAAAGAAAACAGGAAATTCTTTTAAACACTTTTAAAGTTATTTCATTAACTAAAGATTAAGAAGCTATATGTACAACTTTAAAGCCAAAATCTCAGAGGCCTTAAAAATGATACATCAGAAGAACATTATTCCATAAATATGAATATACTTTGCAGCTGAGGCTTGTTATAACATGATAACAATATTCAAACTACTAGCTCCTCTTTTTTGTTTGACACAAAATAAAAGGAAAAAAATTATTTACCTTGCAAATCTGCTTTGCTACACTAGAACCATCACATGAACAGTTAGGTGACAAGTTTAGAAACAGGTCAGGATCATAAGGAAGTTTACAGGAAATGCTAACATATCAGACTGAAACTTAAAATTACCTACTGTAATAGGTCATAAAATTACCTACTACAACACCTCAAATATAACAAATGTGTGTCCTCTCCTGATAAGGGAGCCTTTACAAGTAATGGTAAAATAACAGCGAAAAATAAAGAATCGTTCGTTTCAGTGCCACTGTGAACAGTTTCTTTAAGAGGCTGAACAACAATACAGGTTTATAAATAAAGTAAGTATCCATGAAAAGGAATTAGAAATCTGAGAGCTGCTCATTAGAATTCTATTACAAGAAAAAGTGAGCATGAGTTTTAAAAGAACCCATGTACAAACAGTCCCAGGTGTGGCTTTATAAATTTCACACAATATTGCCTAAGAGTAATCAAATATATTTATGCACTGACGTAGATTTAAGGAACCCTAAAACCCTTTTAAAGAAAACGATATTACATTTTCCCCTCAGTTAAAGTTATGGATTTTTTTTAATTATTGGAGGGGTGGCAGTGGAGAGAACTGCTGCTGTACTAGACAAATTTGTGAAGGATGTTTTAAAGCTACATTTACGTAAAGAAAAGCCACTCAAACCCAGAAAAACCAAAAACAAGTGAAAGCCAAATGAAACCAACAGAAAAACCCCAAAACAAAAACATTAATTTAAACTAAAAAAAAAAAAAGAACCCCACCACCCACCAAAAAAAGTCCCAATATACCTCATTTACCCCAACACTGTGGAACAGCAAGTGACAATTTAAAGGGAAAAGAACTATAATCCCCATGAAAGGAAAAGCAACTGGAAAATAATCAAATTTAAATCCCCGCAATTTGTAGACTAATGAATGCATAGAAATAAATTTAGCGACCATTTTAAGAGACAATTTAAGGCCTTATATAAACAGAAAGATAGGCAGGCATCCCCCATAGTGCTACCATAGTAGGAGTTCCCACTATTTAAAAACTGAACGTCAATATTGATTTCCTAAACCATTAATAAAATAAGTTGCATACATGCAGAGCTTTCCTTCCTAGTCTTTTACGTTCAGTGAAATAAGAGTTTAATATTTTCATTCATAGAATTCCTGTAATTTTTGTAACTCCATATTCTTGAAATAAACATCTAGCAACACGATCCAGCAGGTAAAGATTACAACAGGTAAAAAGAAAATAAAAATGAATACATAATCAGCATTTCATTAAATTACCTCATCAAATTCTTCAGTCATTTTTCGGATTATTTCAGAATTCTGCATATGTCGGAACATCTCTGCTGTAACAACTCCTACAATTTAGATATTAGGTCATTAGCACTGTTAATATGAAAGCTGCAGATGGCAGATGACATGCCTCCTGCTACAATGTCAAAATAACCCATTTTCACCTAACCTACTGATTACACATACATATTTTTAATACATTTCACTTTTTTTCTTCTAGCATTCACATGTAACAAGTACTTAACAGCATTTATATGTGGGGTTTAGTCTTCTTAAGAAGTGTGTTTGTGTGCATGTACACACACAGCTAGAATTTACTCACTCATAATCAGAAATCAAAGCTACTTGTGCCAGACCTTTGTTCCAGCGAGCATTAAACCATCTGAAGTGATCTTTTGGGACTCCAGATTCTAAATAGTGCAAGACAATTTTGAACAGCTGTATTGCTACTTATCTTCTGCACTACAATAAACACAGCGCTTTCATGAAATTTCTGTTTGTCTTGGCCTCAAATTGTTATACCTCCCAAAGTTTACTGCAAAATTCATGACAAGGATCATCACAGAAACCATTAAAAGATTCTGCAGCTTAATCTTGTAATAAAAGTGAAAAGGCCACTACTCTTGAAAGCACAGATAACCTCTGAAGTACACTGTTAGCTTTCTGGAGATTTACACATGTTAAAAGTTTATCAGGACAGAGAAAACACTTAAGCAGAACAAATTATATCCAGTCCTCCTCCATCAAGCATAGTGACACTGCAAGGCAAGTTACCTTCTCTTCAAAAGAAGCTGAGAGGTAAAAGAATGGAGGATGAAGAAATGAGGAAAGAAAAATCAGAAAATAAAGAAAAAAATATATGAAAACACAACCTTACTGTAGACAGGCTACCATGAAGTTGTCCATAATATCTTTTGAAACAAGCACGTCTATAAAAGTTATGAAGCAATTTTAATACTAAAACATCAAATTAGAATTCCAAGACTGAATAAGCTGAACTATCAGTGATAGAAGAGATTATTTTCTGAAATAATAGCAGGAACAAAGGAAGAGGAAGCACATATTAACTACTGATTTCTATCTGCTGTAAATAGAAAAGGCTTAATCAACACTTTAAACTACAGTATAAGATTTCTAAACCTCCTGCTCCCACCTTCAGAACCTGATAATGTAAACTAGCTCTGGGGATGAAGTAATCTTATAGTCTCAGTGGTATGAAAGCAAAGATTGAGAATCATGCTTAAACGATACTGGGAATATTAAATATTACTTAAATGGATGAGTAACCATTTCAGCATCTTACCTTTGCAGCCTGAACACTGAATAAAGAAGTTAATGAGATCAAGAAGTGCTATATCTCGGTCATGTTTGTATGACTCTATCCAGTCATCCACTACTGACTGAAAGAAAACAAATAAAAAGGCACTGCTCAGTTTTCATAAATGGAAGACATTGTTACTTAACTGCTTTCAAGTAAGTGATTCTTCTTCATCCCTTTAAGTTAACTTGAATGCTCTTTTTTGATTACTACAGAATTAAATGCTTAAATGATCTTTTACTGCTTTTTCTGTTCTCAAGAACCCATTTTATTCTATAGACATATATCAGTACAAAACTGACACCTGAACATAAAGCACAGGAATACCATATGCTTCTACAGTAACATTTTTGGAGGAAGAATGAAAAAATAATTGGGGTATTTTAGAGAATTGGGTTTTTTATTTACACCCTTTCCCTGCTCTGCCAAGCCACTGGCATTTCTCTGAAGATATTATTTGTGCATTCAACTTCAACAGCTACAACTCCCCATATTCTTTAAAAAATGTGCCCCTTGGATGAACTTTGCATCATCCACATTTGCCATAACTGGATGAACAGCACTGCTCTACACTACATGGATATGAATTACTCAGTAGTCACTAAGTAAAGGAGGAACAAGTACATTTTATCAGAAGACCTTAATGGGAAGCAACTAAACCTGTGATAATCATTTTGGGAAAACAGAATTTACATGCAATTATGTTTTAACCATCCATTTGTAGAGTACAAACCATCTACTGCCAAGGTCATAAAACACAGACACACCATTTTATTAACACAGGCACAAGAGACTTGCTGTAGTATGAAGTTCTCATGTTTGACTTTTCTTAATATGTTAGTACCCTTCCCTAAATGATGGAATAATTCAGAATTTCAAAAGACAGCTGAACTATTCACCATCTCCAAGGCTTCCTATCGGTATTCCAAGTGCTTACTCTCACAGCCGATATTGCTGTGAGGACAAATTAAAACATATTGCCATCAAGAAAATCTTCTGAACAAAGATACAGCTAAATCCTCTTCCCTGAACCTCAGATTGTTTATAATGTAAAGCACAACTGTTATCAGCACAACAAAAAGAATTAAAAATCCTGTGAATGTCATTCACAAATGAAACTGTCATTCTCTTCCCAGTAGGAACAGAACCTATGAACTGGACCTGAGTGGGCTGACCTGAAGGGAAGAATGAAATGCTGAGAAAATAAGTTTGGCTTCTAAAGAAGGTCATCATGCAAGAACTGAAGAATTATAGGAATGGAACAAATATTTCCATTAGGCAACCTTGTTTTCAGAATCTATTCAATTTAAAGAAGCGCCTGCAAAACAGTTGTTTCTTGAAATGTTGTCTCTGGAAATGAACCACCTCTTTTTGCCAGGGAACAGACACTAATTCACAGAATCACAGAATAGATTAGGTTGGAAAAGAACTTAGAGGTCGTCGAGTCTAACCTATGACTTAACACCACCTTGTCAACTAATTCAGAAGGTACAGAATAGAATTTAAAATAAAGTAGTTAACTTTAAACTATTACCACAATTTTTTCAGGTAACACTGGAGGCCATGGAAAAAACTTTATACTCTGCTGAAATGGACTTTAGTTTAAAAATAATTTGAGAATTTTTTTCTTCCTAGTTTTAAAAAATTGACAAAGATTCAGGTATCAGTTTCGCAATTCAACAGAGTAATCAGACCTGGCAAACGTCCACTTTGCCCTTGGAAAGCAAAATATTTTGACTGTATATCATTTTAAACAGTTAAAAATTCATGAAGATACAATTACTGATTACTGGCTGAACAAGTTGCATCCTGTTAGTAAATGCAGTGGGGAAGAGTACCTAGTGTAGATACTTGAAAGGGTTAAATCTGCCGTAGATTGACTTGGCCAGAATATACTGCTACAATGTAAGTGGCTGGAATTTGGGTCAGGAAATTTAAAGAGGAGCCTGTAAGTTTTAGCTAGTGATTTTACTTTGGATGAGAGAAGAGAAGCAACTATTTATTTCAGATAATCCAGAGCTTAGATAATCATGCTCTGGATTCATGTAAAAACAAGAGATTCTTGTTAAATTCTATGACAACAGTTAAGTCTAAACCACATTTGTATTACTTACCATCACACAAAAAGGACTTTAAAGTTATGCAATCTAAAATAACCTTTCTTCATTCAGGATACCAAAAACTTGTTTTGAATTGTAGTATGAATATATTCATGAATAACATTTAGAAATGAAAAATCAGTTCATTCAAGTTCAAACATCAACAAAGCAAAACCACTTTATTTTGATTCTTACACATAAGTAAACCCAGCAAATTGAAGGAAAAAATTACTTTCTACTTCATTTTATTAAACTGCATGTAGAAGAAAATATTGTTATATTGAAATTGTATCCACATCCAAGTCATAAAGCTATCCCGGGTCTTACCTGCATAGCACTCTTGCCCATTTTCACTACTTCAAAGAGCATCATGTTTTCCACACCATTCTGTTGGTGATGTCCATTCATCCGATTCGGACCACTGGGTTTCCCTCCTCCGTTTCCACTTTTTCCCTTCTCTGCTGGTCCTTTTTTTCCTTTTTTACAAGTCTGCAATCACACACACAAAAGGTTTTATTTAATTATCATGAAGTATTTAAAAAACATCACTATCCATACCATGACAAATATAAGCAAAGCCTTTGATTTTCAGCAACCCTATTTTTTAAATGTCTTACTTATACCTGTATGTCTGTTTGTGTGTATATGTGTATATATATGTGTATATATATATATACATATATATATGTGTATATATATATATATATATATATATAAATAAAAATTCAAAAGTTGAGAACAGCAGATCCTGAGTGATACAAAGACCAGCAAGAACTCCAGAGGTTCCTCCTTCCCCCATTTAAAATCTTTTAGCAACTAAAAATGTGATTAGTGATAGTGTATAATATAGATCTTTCTCATGTTTAAATTGTAAATCAGATTATTCATATTTCCTTTAAAACAGCTAAGGTAATTTCCTTAACACATCACAAAGTCTCCTCTGCAACTCATTAACCTTTTGTTTTTTCCATTCGAATATAGGTTGGCAAGATGGGGCGTGAGGAAGAGCAGACAGGTGTGTTTGTATTTGATTTCCTAAATCAAGACTTCCAGAAAGAAGAAAGAACATTAAGTACAAATTACATGGCCATTGTACAAAATCCATCACCACCTCTCCACAACCAGGGTCTTGGCACTGGAACAGGCTCATGGGGTGTCCAGTGAGGGGTCAGCAGGGAAGCCCAGGGCCACCCATGGTGGCTGTGAAGCCTGTGACAGGCACATGGGGAGGACAACTGCCCCAGGAAGGGAGACAAGGGCTGGGAACTGGGTTTAGAACTCCCACTCCACTATTTTAACCTCCTGTCTACAACCTGTTAAAAAACCTCTTTTAACTGAATTATTGTTCTGTTCACTTTTCAAACTAAAAGACACAGAATGAATTTAAGTATAGGATGGAAAATATGCCAAGAGACTGATCAAATCAAAGCTTATCTTTTCCTCCCCTGCCTCCCTTATGCCTTCAGAGCACTAAGAAAATATCTCAGAAACAGTCAAGATGAAGCATTTCCATGCAAATACAAATATGAACTCTCTTCACAGAACACTTGCATTTTCAGAAAATACTCTTTCTTGCTCACTGAACTTCAAAGAAAGTGCTAAATTCTTCAATTCATAACAGTAGAAATGTTTCAGTATCCCTAAAGAGTGAACATACTTTGCCTTTGCCTTGCTTTTGGCTTTTTCCTTCAATATCCTCAAAGTCTGTATCAGAAGAGAAGTGTGTTTCAGACTCCCTGCAAGGATAAAAAGACAAACCATTCACACATTTCATCAGAAACATTCTTAAATATACTATATAAAATCACAGTAGGCTCTCAGTCCAGTAAGTCAACACCAACAGTGAAACTTTTCCCAAGCCTACTGTTGAGGAACAGAGCACATCCCCACACTCACAGCCTATCCTGTCTCCTCCAAGCAATGTACCTGTGAAGGAAGCCATACAGGGAGATTAAAAGATTTGAGGGTAGGTAGAAAATAGCAGCAGGCTGGGAATCATACCTTTGATATGTGACAAACACGACAACATCTCAAAAAGCAAACAGCTTTAAATACTGGCCACAAATATTTAAACAAAATGAGAAGGAGAAAAAACCCAACAGCAAAAAATATCCCAAAAAGCATAACTTTCCCTGACAAACAAAGTGCCTCAACAGATTTCTTCATGCTGTTAGAAACTTAGCAAATAATTAATAGATTTACACTTATGTTGAAAGGTACAGAAAAGAAGTTTATGTGAGGTTTCCTCATCAAAAAGCTGTAGCTGTGTTTAGGCTTATAAGGTGAAAACATACTAAAGACAAACTCATTTATTTGATTTCCTACACATAAAAATGCACTGCATTGATACACAAATCCTTGATTGGCAGCATTGATAGGAAGGTGTGAAATGACCTGAATTGTTAATACAGAATGTTTGGCTTGTGTATTTCTACAGTTCCTGTAGAAATTAATTTAAATGATGCTACAAGAGCTCATTTTAATACAGAGATGCAGTACAATGAATTTCAGCTGCTATCACAAATTTCTGATACAGGCTTCCTGATTCAATTAACAAAATAATCAGAAAGATGACTGGAGGCATAGGAGACTTGTTCCTATGGATTTCTTTATAACCTTCTAAAATGCTCCAGAAATTTACAGTCTCTCACTACTGCAAGTACCTTTTGACATGGAATCTGCCATGTCTGGTTTTGCTGACTATGCAAGCTGATATGGACTGGAAAAGCCTGCAAACCAGGACATTGGGAAGAAGAATGAAAGAAAGAAAAAAGGTGGAAAAAATTTCTTCTTCTAAGATTCCTAAATGTTCTTATTTTCACAGGGAAGATCTAAATATAAATTCCAAATGCTTCACTAAGCAATAAACTGTACCAAAAGAGTACAAAACTATTATAAACAGTTGTAAAAACACTACTTCTTATTAAACCATCTTCCAATTTATTTCCAATCTTTATTTCTCACTGAAAAGAAAAAACACCCACACAAACTCACTGATACAAAACTGCACCTTTGCATCTTTTTAGACTTCATAACTGGGTTAATCCATTTCAACAGTCTAGAGAAAGGTGTTCATACCAGTCCCTTGACAATAAAAGGGAATGAACTGGATTCTTTTGGTCTGCTTAAAATAATCATTTACTTCTCTATCCTAAACTGCAATCCGTACCTAATTCTAAATCTTGGGAACTCAAATGTCAGTTTCTTAAAAATTGTGGGAAGACAAAAAGCTTAGTAAAATTATGTCAAAAACACCAAGGAACTGATGCCAGAGGGAAGTCATTAATTTGGCTTTAACTAAAGCATTTGGCATTACATATTTTAAATATTAAGTGACTCACCCCAGTTAAGGGCAAATATTTCAACTACTTGATTTAAAATCAGATTTTTAAAAATATTTTAAAAACTTATTTACTGCTGAATTAATACTCAAAAAAAAAATAAAAATGCTTTTACCAATATCTCAATAGGGAAAAAAACAGAACACCATTCTTTATTATGTTTCCTTGTTTCCAAGAGACAGTAAACCATAACACAAAAAAGACACAGTACATTTACAAACAGAACAACAAATTTTTAAAACACTTACTGAAGGAGAGTAAAATCAGTTGGTATTTCTGGAGCTGCTATCATTTCTTTATCATCTTCTGGAGCACCACTGTATTAGAAAGATAGTCAAAAAGCAGTCTGAAGTGCAAGCTTACTTTTCTTTCTTCCTTTGTAGCAGACAACTTCTAGAATGCAATAAATAAAAAAATACAGTGAAAATTATTCCACATATGGAAGGATAAAGAGTTGGAAACACAGGAAAGGTAGATCACGCTATCCTCTGTTTCCAGCCAAGCTTTTTCCTGTTTTAAAGATTTTGAGTCCTCTCATGATCCTACTACAAAGTGACTCTACAAATGGTAAAAGCATTGCAGTAAAATACAAAAACACTGTAAAAAAACCCAACCAAACAAAATGCAACAAAAAAAAGAAAAACCAAAAACAAACAAAAGAACAAAAACAAAACAAAAACAACCAAACAAAAAAAAAATCAAGCTCCACACACACACATTTTCTGAATAGGATAAGCAAATTGGAATGGTTTTCATTAACACCTCTAAGTAGCAGAGCCCAGAACTGACAACACTAGGGTAATTCTAGTTCTACTTGACCAAACCAAAACCAGACTTGATGTTGAACTTGAAGCAAAATACGTGTATACTTCAAGATATTAAATACAGCAACTTTGCATCTCCAACTTGCCAACTTCCATGTAATTTCCCATACATATAATCTCTTCCAACAAGTTCTTATAACCAGCTGCTTCACAACTCCATGTCTTCCAGAGCTGATAAACCAGACTTACAACAGGTTTAACAATTGAAGTATTTGTCAAGACTCTTAGGAGTACCAAGGAAGATAATACTATCCACATAGTATAAAGGAAAACCTTGGAAACACAATTGTTTTAGCAGTAAAACTAAAGATCGCAAAATATTTGTTTTAAACTTCATTATAATAAATTAAAGTTTTTATCTTATTTTTTCTATTATCAAGGGGGGAAAAAATCTCCCTGGGTACTCCAAAAGCAAGTTTTAGCCATCCACCAGGTTTTCTATGTCACTTGGCTCCCCAAATTAACTTTTGCACAGTGAAATTAAGAAAGTATGATGTTCAGCTATTTTAAAGACAGAATACCAAGGAGAAAAACTTTCAGAGTCAGTCTGATGACTCTACAGCTTTTTGGAGTGATTAGGTATTTGAGGGAAAGATTAAATTTTGGCATGCTAAGCACATGTTGCTCAAAGTCTGGTAGTCCTGCTCCAGAAACTGCATTTCAAGTGAGCATGTGGCAGAGAGGCTGGACAGGTTTTCTCCTGCAAGTGCTTATTCCGAATGCTAGGGGCCACTGTAGCTTCCAGGATTTAGAGAGATGAGAGAAACCATAAACTCTGAATTTATTAAGTTCTCTTTCTTCACATTGCACATAATTACATTAAAGTAGAGAACCACAGTGGAAATAGTGACAAAGGCAAGGAGGTTCAATCTCAAGACAGTCTGCAAGTACAAAAGCATGTTCCATCCAAAACACAGCAGAAAATAAAAAGCTTCAAGAAAAGCGATGCTGCAGAATGGCAGCACCCTCTGCATTCCTCCCTTCTCCAAAGGCATCACACAGCACATGACCAATGTACTCCGTTCACACTCCCTGTAGCAACCCCTGCCCAGCCACTCACCCTTGTAGGCTATGCCAAGTCAGTATCACCCAATTAAAGTCCCCACCAAAATGGGCAAAATACAATTCAAGTATTTTTCCCCAAGATTCTCAAGTTAAACTGGTTCAACAGCAGATATCCAGAGTCAAGGAACAGGAAACACAAGACTGCATAGCCACCAGCAGGGGAGGGAAGGGTATAATTCCCTTCTTTGGTGGCAAGGTGCTATTATACCATCCAGGCCATCTGTGAAATGCCATGCTCAGAAGTTAACATATCAGAAAGTTCTACACTTTGGAATTGTTTCATGTACTTTGTATTTATTTATCTCTTAATATTTACTTTGATTCCAATCAGCAACATAAACTTGGAAAAAAGGACAAACTTTAATGCCTTGGTCATCAGGCTGGCACCTGCTCAGCTGTACAGGGAGGGGGGAACAGGGAAAAAAAAAAAAATTAAGAAGAAAGATAAACATCTACACAAGTTCTTTCTGAGGCATGCTTGTGATTCAGTCCCAGTAGAAAGCAGAGATGCAAACTGCAAAAACCACATTGCCCAGTATCAAGTTCAACCTGTCTATCAATGTGCTGGTATTTGATTTTTTCTAGTCTACATTTTTTAATGTTAAGAGGCAAGGCATCTACTAAAGTGACAATCAGGATCCTTACAAGCAAACTGACTCCTTATATAAAACCCAAGCATACCATGCTACAAAATTTTGCAAAAATCTCAATACATTCTTATAATCACAAAAAGTAAAGAAAAAAACTCCAAAACTATGAAAAAGAATGTGCAAAGTATTAGAGTATTCGTTCTCTACATCAAACAAGCCAAATAAATCAGTACCAAAAGCTGTCTGCCATTTAGACCAACCTGAACTCCTTGTCAGAACTGTTCATCTTAGTACAGAGCACAAAACATTAAACACAGCATTTGTCAGAATCACCTCCTAGAATAGAGCAGACCTGTCAAGTTCTTGCCTGATGCTGAAGCATTACCTACTGAGATACACAGTTTTTGTTTTTCTTGAAGGTAGAACAAACTTAGCCCTCATGAGCGCAACTATACACTGGCATTCTGGAAAACAGAAGCTAGAGATGAAAACAGAAGCTTTGTACACCTGGCAGTGGCGTACAAAGAGCGTAAGGGATCTCAGGTGTCAAGCTTAAGTTTCAGCAATGACCAAGAAACCCCTTGCATTTGTCCTACTAGAGAATAATCTCACAAGGTTTACACACATCCCGAATGAAGGTCTTATGATGCTCAGCCAGCAGAGTCAACCCAGTACAGTAAGTCCCCCTGGCAGTGGCCAAGAGAAGCTGCCCAAGGAAGAACACTATTTTCTTTATAGCAAAAATTCCCTGAATTACTTCCTGGCATCCAGAAATAACCTATGGATTTTGCTGGCCAGAGAGGTTGTCCCTATACTTCACAACACCTTATTTTTTCCATTAGTATTTCCAAATAGTTTTTGAACTCAATACTCAATGGAGGGTCTTCCATCCAAGAACTCCCACAGCCAAATTCCATACTACAAAAAGGCATATTCTTTGCCTTGAATTTATTATTTTCCAACTTTATGTCATATTCTCTTGTTTTGGTATGGGAGAAAAGCAACACTGGTCATTCCTCAAGATTCTTAATCTCATTAAACACTTTCTGGGAATTCAAGCCTACTGCCAGCCACATCTTCCTCATGCCCACACTGGATGACTCATTCAAAGCAAGTGGTTCAGGAAGTCAATAAGGAAGGATGCTTATATGAATGATTTTTCTACCAAAACTTTTTAAATATATCAAGTTCATATACCACAGCGAAATCAGAAAAGAAAGAAGTGAAATTCTTGCAGATGTCATTCCAAGCAGTGCACGTCTACATTTTCTAATAAACAAATTGTTTTAAGAACTCTAGGAAATAAATTCTAAACTAAACTGTATCATAAAAATTAGCTCTCGAGTTTCTTTTTTGGTATGTTCACAGAATTCCAACTTTAATTTTCCCAAGCAGATACTGAAATCTCTCAAGTCTGTGGAAACTTTAAAAGGCATTCAACTTTGTGAAATCATAATTAAATTATTAACTATAAAAAGAAAATGTATCCTGCTGAAGGATCACAAGGTGGAGCTCTAGCCTAAAGCTAACTGAAGAAACTCCAAAAGACAGGTCATCCAGAGGTTGACCTAGTTATTTCTCTGCAATAAACTTTATAACAGATTGCTAAAATTGCAGTAATATTGTAGCACATTTCCTTTAGATATGTATTTAGATTGTTAAGACACCAGAGGATTTCTTCATCTTTTTGAAATAAAGGCACATACATGCTTGATTCCAATGACTCTTAAAAAGACAGAAATGCATACAGCTACTGTGGTATGACTAGTCTCAGTAATTGGCTTTCAAAACAAGCAGAAGAATTTGAAAACAGAATTTAAAACTTTATTGTACCTTGCTATTTAAAACTTTGCCATCAAAACATTACTGAACTAAAAATCCTCCTGAAACAACAGGAGCAGTCCAGCAACAGTAATGATACCTAATGCTTCCAACTATAAATGTAGGAGAGGTTTCTACTGAAAAGAATTTGACTGTTAAAAGCAAGAGGCAAGCACGGAACACTATCAAGAATCCAAAAGCATACTCATCGAAAAAGATTTAAATCTTAAAGGCCATTTATCCCTATTACATGAATATTTAGGTATGGCTGTGATTAAATTAACTCAAATACACTGGCAAACTGCTGACAGAATTCACCAGCACAATTCACACAGTAACACATATGCAGTCATCAGCAGCTGCTGAGGGCTACCTGTCCTCCCACAATTCCTATTACATGCACGAGATATTAATGCAATTCAGTGAGCAGTGTTTGGTCTAAGAATATACCTAATTATATAGGTATATATATACACACACGCACCATAAAGAATCACAAAACCAGTCCCAAACATTTGTGTTTTGTACACTTGTGTAAATGCAGGAACTCCAGTGTTATTGATCAAGCTCACTGTGAGGTTTCAGGTACATGGGCTTTGGCTGGGGAATGTTCTCTACACAAGCTGTTTATTTTGGTTGCTGTTGGATCCTTGGCATCTAGCACCTGGAAGTTTTATAATGCAAATCAGTAAAAGTCATTTTGTTGGGAAGGCAGAGATGCAAAGTTTAAAAAATGGCTACATAGCCAGGACAAAGATTTGGGTAATACAGAATAAGCTGTACAGAGATGTATTGATTTTTTTCCCCGTAATTCAATTAATCACCTGTAAAATCAAGGACCTCACTTAATTCAGAAAATTAGAACTTTTCAAACTATAATGCTGGAGAATGTGGCTGAAGTTCATCTTTGAATTATTTACCTAACCATGAATGAGAGATGCTGATGACTCAGGACCAATTATGCAGCAACAACAGTTAAAATGCTAGTCAGATAAAATTTAAATAAAGGATCAGAAATATGTCCAGTATTTTCCCCCCACTATTTTAGAAGAGAAAGACAATATCAACTACTTAACATCTCTCACTCCTTTTT